CAAAATCAATATCACTCTTCAAGAAATGTTGTGGCAAATGTGGTGACCGATTTTGGCCATAGGGGGGTTTATTTATAGTGTGGCAAATGCTAGGGTTACATTTTGTAAACCCTAATGACCTTTCATACTACTTAGGATCCATGGGTTAACCTCCATGGACTATCCATGGATCATCTCATTGGTTTAGCCCATCCTAAATAATCATGGATCATTAGCCCACACTATCAGAATCATTAATTTACATAATCAATCCCCATATATCTAATTAGTCTCTTTTGATCACAAAATTAATTCCAAATTAATTATTGATCAATACTAATTAAATAATATGATTCTCAATATATTATACTTATAATATATTAATAAATCACAAATAACTTTATTCTTAAAAGTTCATCCTATCAAATTGCACTGGTGAAGGCAACCCAAAAGGACCATGCTAAAATCGGGTCAAGTACATCCCAATTATAGTTATGGGCTTAGACACCAAATCCAACATTTTTATCAGCCTCCAACTCCCCATATCGACCCTTAATAACCCTAGTCATCTTACTCTCTTATTTGTGAGCCATTGTGGTGTTTTTAGAGCCAAAGAAAGAAGAAGTTGGAAGAAGGGAGTAAGGATCCAGGAAGCAATCCCTCATCTTTCGGTTTGACACTCTTCTGGACCTTTGTAAGTGTCTAAGATCCAATTTTTATTCCTCTATGTTGCTAGATCTTGAGTTTTGGCCCTTTTTCTTGTTGTTCTTGAGTGAGGGAGTGGTTGGATCTCATAAAGTTAGCAACTTTATGGATCTCCAGGTCTAAGTGACCTTGCAGACTCTTGGATGTGGCCTATAGTTGAGTTTTGATGCCATGCATGGAGAGTAGGTCATAAATCCCCATTTTTACCTATTTTGGGTTCAAGACATGCATTGGACATGCATGTCTATAAAGCACCGACTTTTGGGATGGTTTTGGTGCTAGAATCTCTTCTGGAAAGGATGGGTTTCAAACTTCAAGGATTTAGTGCTTATTGGTTAAGCCCTTGAACCTTCAAGCCTCATGGTTGGGTTTTAGGACCCTTGGAATAGTTCCAAAGGATAAAGTTGGAAGCTCTATCCTTCTTGATAGCATTTGGGTCTAGATCTGAGCCTTGGAGTCCCTAGAATCGAAGAAAACAACTGAATAAATTAAGCTGCTGGAACTTGGGCAAACACGACATGTTTGCAAAGCCAACATGGCATGTTGGCTAGAGTTTTCTCGATCATCTGGATGCTATCGAAACAAGGCGTTTTTTATAGTAACCACGGCGTGTTGGGTCAACATGGACTATTGACCTTGACCTTGAGGGTATTTTGGGTATTGTTGGGATTTTGATGGAATTGGTCATTTGATGGTTATAGGCATTTGAGTTGAGAGCTGAGATTCGGAGTCGAACCTTATCAGTTCTGTGTTGCTTGCAATGTGAGTTTTCCTCACTATACTTTCGGGTTGAAGGCACCAAGGTCGGCCCATTGGTTTGATAACTTGATATTGTTGATATGTTGAGTATGGAATAGATATGTATGCTAGTTTTGATATGCTAGTCTGGTAGATCTGTAGGACTACCTGTGATATTGTTTGTTTATTTGTATATGATTTATCTGTTATATGTCGACATATTGTGTGGGTTGGGTTAAGGTTGTATTGCTCCGTGCTGTAGCCAACAAACCATGGAGCAAGCCAGATATGAGCTGAGGGCCGAGGAGGGCATGTCAGACCCTTACTGAGGGCTCATGATCTTTCCAGATACAAGTTGAGGGCCGAGAAGGCATGCCAAACTTGTACTGAGGGCTTATTGGTACTCAGTCCAAGGACGGATCAGGTCGGGGAGCAAGCCAGGCATAAGCTGTGGGCCCAGGGGGCAAGCCAGACTTATGCTGTGGGCTCAGAGGTAATCCAGTCTGTTAGTTGTGGACCCATTGCATGTTGTTATTATATTTGTGATATTTGTTTGTGTATTGGTATTTTGGGAAAAATCACTAAGCTTTGGGCTTACAATTTTGGATTATGTTTCAGGTACCTCAGGGGATCGCGGGAAGGCGAAGGCGTGATCGTGCACCTCCTCATGTTTTGTTTCATGATTTTGGGATTTCTATGATATTTAACCTATTTTGAAAACTATTTGCAACCAATGATGATTTTTGGGTTGTTTTAAAAGTTTAAATTTTTTATGAATTTTATGGTTGTTACATTTCTAAAACCATTGTAAATTTCAAAGATATAGGGTGGAGGCTAGGGTTTCAAGAACCCTATGGAATTTTCGAAAATACCTCATTAGGGTTTAGTTTCTATAAACCCAAAATTTGATCTATTCAACTTTGTGTAAGACCAATGAGAACAGTGGCTTTGATACCACTGATGGGTTTTATATGTTACAAAAAACAATTTTTTGGTGGAAAAACATAAACCCTAAGCTCACATGCACCCTAAAGGATCTATGTTCTTACTATGATTTGCAAACAACTATTGAATATCAAGAACCCTAAAAGTACATTGCTATTTTTGAAATCACTAAAGGGTTTTTAGAAAATACATACCTTAGTTTATTATTGAAAATAAACTAGTAATCCTTCCTTTGTTGGTCTTTAGAAAGCACAACAGAAGTGTCGTGTCTCTAATGGCTCACACCCAAACCCTAGCAAATTAGAGGCTAAAGAAGAGAGAGAAGGAGGAAGGGAATTTTTTTTGGGATTCTCTTAGGAATGAGGTGAATTCCAAAAATCATAACCCAGTGGGGTTTATATATGTGATAGGAAGGCTAAAGATAAGGCAAGTTTGTTTTAGATAACCTTAATCATTTTGTCCCCCCCCCCCCAAGGCATCCAAGTTTCCTTAGAGCCCAAGAAAAGCTCTAGAATCCCTCTAGAACTCCTCTAGAACATCCCCCTTATGGGAGGTTCTAGAATTTCTCAATGTTTAACTTTTAAACATTGACACCTTTAGTCCTTCCACTTTTAATTAATCCAATTAATCCTAAAATTAAATCCAAATAAATTTATATTTAATTTTTAATTAAGCAATACTATTTCTATTTACTATATTATTCTCTTAATATATTAATAAATTATTTATTTTGATTTCTAACTAATTTATTAACCATATAACAAATTAATAAATCAGTATTTCTCTCTCTCTCTCTCTCTCTCTTTCTAAAAATCATTCAAGTTAATTACTAGGTTTCAGGGCAACCCAAAAGGACTTTTCTAATAACTCAATATTATACTAATTTATTTATTGGTTTAGACACCTAATCCAACATACATGTCATTTTGTCAACACGGGTCCATGTGTACTTACGGCCTACATGCCATTTTGTCAACACGGGTCTATGTGTACTTACGACCTACATGCTATTTCGTCAACATGTGCGCATATAGGCTCCTGACCTCTTAGTCATTTTGCCATCATCCCCCAACTACATCTAATATCACAACAATTACGCATATAAATGTTGTACTTTAGACTCTTCTAGTACATGCACAATTTCACTTAAGCACATTATATTATCAACTTTACTCTACTAGCTCTCTATCCTAACATACATGGATATATACTGTAATACATTGTATAGTGAGATAACTCACATGGACAGTTACTCAGACGACTGACTATTCCTCTGGCGATACGGGTAATGCGTCTAACAGGAATGAACCTACAATATTATTATTTATTAATTCATATGGCAATCTGTTGAAAGATAGATCATTTACTAATTCCAAAATATACTTTCATGCTATTAAATAAGGAGCAGACAGTTGGGTGGCAAGACCATTTAGGCATATATCTTTTCTGAAATCTAACAACCAAGCCAACATGCCCATTATAGACATTTCTCCCGTAAGTAGACCAACCAATATATTTAATAGGAAATAATGTCTAATGATCTAATCTGGTACTTACAGGTTCCTAATAACAACTATAAATCTAACTATATGCCACCCTAAAAGCCTAGTAAGCGTAGCTGCACTTACAAAGGAGACTAGCGAAGAGCCTGAAAAGTCACGGGCAGGGTCTTGATACTGAGCACTTATTTCTACCTGGTTATATATTACCACAATGCCTTGCTAAAAAAGAGATTCTACGTTTTTATAATGATTACTTTGGCTAAAAAGTAATATATTTATATTTTAAATTTTATAAACAACGGTTTATATCGAATTCTATTGGAATGTGAAAACGGGGGGTTATACAACAACTTAGTTGTTTCCCGTCTTGCTTAAGAAGGTTAATCGTACAAATTTATCTCATTGGCTTTATAGCTAAATATTTTGAGATCCTTGTTGATTTGATCAATCTTCTTGAGGTCCTTGGTCACATAGTTAAGTAGAGGTCTATAGAATGACAAATCTTGAAAGGATTCAAGGTAGTCTCAAAGGTTCAGGGTTTTAAAGGTTGAAGTTAAGTAGAGGATGACAAATCTTGAAAGGATTCAAGGTAGTCTCGAAGGTTCAGGGTTTTGAAGGTTGAAGGTTGAATGTTCAAGTTTTAATATTTTTTTATTTGTTTTATATGTTTGGATGTAGTTTTTTTTCCCGCCAAAGGTTAAACCTTTGGGTGTTTTGTAAGATCATCTAATGCTATTATAAACATTTTTGTGTAGCCATGATCGTGATTATCTTAACATAAACAAACAAAAGAGTTTTGTGAAAAACTTTCAACTAGATGAGGATGTCATCTCAAATTAGTTTTCTAATCACAAGGAGAATAGAGTGAGATTGAAGACAATGAGCTTGAAATAGAACAAGAGGAGAGACGAGTGTAATAATTTAGGGGAGAAGGAGAAGGAAAGAGATAGAGTGATGATATGTAGAATGACTAAAATACCCTCACATGAGGGGCATGAGGGTGAGTTAACAAATGATAGAAAATGGGGGTTGTCTTCAAGGACTAAAACCAAAAAACAAAACAAAACAAAAAATGCACTTTTAAAGCTATTTGAACCAAAACCACAAAAAACAGAAAATCACAAGGACCAAATTTGAAGTTTTCTCTATTCTAAAATTAGATTTTCTTCTTTACGGGGGTTTGAATGCTGTTCGCCCCTAACACTTGAACGAACTGTACTTTCAGAATCCAAACCACGCGCCACCCCCACAACAATGTCCTCCACTGCCGCCACTGCCAGTATATCCACCACGTCTCTCACAACACATCTCACTATCCTCGCTTTCCTTTCCGCCACCACCGTCTACTGCTTCTATAAATCCAGCCGCCTCCGCCACCTTAAACTATCCTCCCCCTCCACAAACCCTAATCCCTCTTCTGCTACTCGAAAAGGAAAACTATTCTTCATCTCTCAAACAGGCACCTCTAGGACTCTAGCTCAACGTCTCTTCAACCTATTGACCTCAAATAACCTCCCATTTGAACTTGTTGACCCAAACGTCTATGAGCCCGAAGACCTCCATCAAGAAAACCTAGTTTTGATCATTGCATCGACATGGGAAGACGGAAATCCTCCATCCAACGGCGTTTTCTTGTCGAATTGGTTGTCGGAGAGCGCTGAGGACTTCAGAGTGGGGTCACTGTTGCTTAGCAAGTGCAAATTTGCTGTATTTGGGGTTGGCAGCCGAGCGTATGGAGACAATTTTAATGCAGTCGGAAGAGGGTTATCAACGAAAATGCGATCTCTTGGAGCATCGGAGATTTTGCCTTTTTGTGAAGGGGATGTTGATGAGGGTGAATTAGATAAGGCCTTTGGTATTTGGAGTAAAGAAGTGATTAAAGTTTTAAAAGCAGGTGAATTGAGGGGAAATGGGAATGATTTAATTGAGGAAAATGGTTATGAGATGATCGATGGATCAGATTACGAAGATGATGATGATGATTACGAGGATGAAGATGAAGAAAATGGGATGGAATCTGATATTGTTGATTTAGAAGATATTGCAGGCAAAGCACCTTCAAAGAAAGATATGGGAGCAATCACAAGTAATGGAAAAAAGAATGGGCAGAAAGAAATGGTAACTCCAGTGATCAGGGCTAGCTTGAAAAAGCAGGTATATCCCCAATTGATCTTGCTTGTAATCCAGGGTAAAGATGATCTTGCTTTCTAGATCTTTTCACTCTAGAAATTCCAAAATGATCACATTTGGCAACTTTTATAGGCCATGTTGTTGTTATATACTTATATTCAACATAAACTTAGTTCTAAGATGAGTAAGATCGAGTAGCAAGTATAATATTATCTAAAACTTGCAAAATACACTCTTCAGATTTTAAGAACCAATGGTAGTTTTAAAGCTAAATGGTTCTATCTATTTTATGAATTGCAGGGTTATAAGATTATTGGTTCACATAGTGGTGTTAAAATATGTCGGTGGACTAAATCTCAACTCAGAGGACGTGGAGGTTGTTATAAGCACTCCTTTTATGGAATCGAGAGTCACAGGTGAGTATTTTGTAGTTATAGCTCTTTCTTTTGATTCCATGCATTTGGGGAAATTGTCATATTATAAAGATGAGTTTTTGTTTACTCTTTGGTCTTTATTATTGTAACAAACGTTTAAAACTATCACTTTTTATGGAAACAGGTGCATGGAAGCAACACCAAGTTTGGCATGTGCAAATAAATGTGTCTTCTGTTGGAGACATCACACTAACCCTGTTGGAAAAAGCTGGCAGTGGAAGATGGACGACCCTTTGATGATAGTGAATTCTGCCTTAGAAGAACATAAGAAAATGATAAAACAAATGAAAGGAGTTCCAGGTGGGTTTTATCATCTTTTCTCTAATCATCTTCTTTCTAAATCTCACCATAGAAATAAATGAACATATAAATGAGAAAGTTTATTGTTATTTCTTGTAGGTGTTACAGCAGAGCGCCTATCAGAGGGTTTGCTACCTAGGCATTGTGCCTTGTCACTTGTTGGGGAGCCTATTATGTACCCTGAGATCAATTCACTTGTGGATGAACTCCACAAAAGGCGAATTTCCACTTTTTTAGTGACAAATGCACAGTTTCCAGAAAAGATTGTGTCACTGAAACCCATCACACAGTTATATGTTAGTGTAGATGCTGCAACAAAGGACAGCATGAAGGCAATTGATAGGCCACTTTTTGGGGACTTCTGGGAGCGCTTTGGTGTATGTACCTTCTCTCACTATAAAATCTTTTAATCTGATCTTTGAGTAAATTACATTTTTTGTCCCTGTGTTATTTCACTTTTTTTTTCTGGATGTGGACAGAAGTCTGAACTTTTGCTCTTTTTTAGTCCCTAAATCACTGTTCTTTTACCCTTTTCACCAACAACAAATCCCAAATCATATCGGATGAAAGATTCATACCCAGAAGCTAAAATCCAAAAAAGTTGAAACTTTTGGCTTCAGATTCAACAGTTATACGACTAGATAACTTTTGGCCTCATATAACACCCATCTAACTGAACTTTATCTGTGATTGTATATCAAAAAAAGCAAAGAGTCAAAACTTATGTATCATATCCAAAAAGTGATATAACATAGGGATGAAAATTGTAATTTCAGGATTCATTGAAAGCTCTGAAAGATAAGCAACAACGGACAGTGTATCGTTTGACACTTGTTAAAGGATGGAACACAGAGGATGTGGATGCCTATTCTTCCCTCTTTGGCATTGGAAACCCTGATTTTGTTGAAATCAAAGGTGTTACCTATTGTGGAACGTAAGTACATATCATGTTGTTTACTTTTTCCCTTTAAGAAAATGACATTATTTACTATCATTTGGGTACTCTACTTGGAATTAAAATAATTAATTATGATTTATAACAAACAGGTCAGCTACATCAAAGTTGACTATGGAAAACGTGCCATGGCATGCTGATGTGAAAGCTTTTTCTGAAGCCTTGGCTGAAAAAAGCAACGGGGATTATGAGATTGCTTGTGAGCATGTGCATTCGTGTTGTGTTCTTTTAGCAAAAGTGGATAAGTTCAAGATTAATGGTCAATGGCATACATGGATAGACTATGACAAGTTTCATGACTTGGTGGGCTGTTTTGTCATTTCATTTAAAATTTAAAATTTAAAATCGGTGTGTGTGTTTCATCATGTATCTTATTAAATAAAGGTTTGGTTTTGTTGATTTTTTTTTTAAATTAGGTGGCTTCGGGAGAACCTTTTGGGAGTAATGATTACATGGCCCCAACTCCATCTTGGACTGTTTATGGAGCCAATGAAGGCGGGTTTGACCCGGACCAGTCTCGCTATAAGAAAGAGAGGAATCACAAATCCACCCGTTGACTTTTCTTTCACCAGGTTTAGTTTATCTTTTCCACATTCTTTTTTTTTACCTCACTAACCCATTTACATATTTGCCCCACATTCATGTTAAAATTGATGAGTATTGTGAAATTCCTTTTTTGGAATGTAAGGGTAAAATGGTCATTTAGTCTGGAAAAAAACAATACTTTATGTATAAAACACTTTAACTTTACCCATACAAAACTTAATGGGAAAAAAAGAAACACCCCTTAAGCACGATATCCTTTAAGTCCAATAAGTTAAAAAAAAAAAGTCTCTGAATTTGCTTACAATTTTGACTAGGCTTCTACATTGTTGCTGCAATATTGTGGTTTTGAAAGCAGCCAACCACAGCAACTAAAGAGCATTCATCCTCATTCTTGTGTGGTGAAATTTTGGTCAAAGGCTTTTTGAAGGTAGAATTTTGGTAGAGCGTTTAGATTTTATTGAAAAGCTTATGTTTCAATCTTTAATGTGTGGATAATTCATAATTCTATAGGTGGTTTTGTTTGAAGGAGGTGCTTTTTAAGGAAAAACTATAATAGTAATAGGTATGTGAACTTTTAATAAAATGATATTGTCGATTTACATTTGAGAGAAGAGCAACTGTTGAGTATTTGTAATAGAAATGGACCTTTTTATGTGGAAAGAGGTAGTTATCATTCCTTTGATGCTTTGCTTGATCATTGTGTTATGTTGTTTTTTTTAATGGGATCGGGAATGAATAGAATGGGATATTCCATTGGAATGAAAAACAGAACCGTTTTGAAAAACACACTCTGGTTTTGATATTTAAAAAAATCAGATAGCCAACAGAAATCCCAAAATGACGTTTTTTTTTTATCGAAGAAGAGTTTGTTAATGTTGTTTTATAGAATAATGATAGATTGTGTGCTTTACAATTTTAAGTTAATGATTGCTAATTTACTTTTCTTAATAGTTTTTAGATTATTTTTACCTTTTTTAAACTTTTATTAAAATGATTAATGTTTAAACCTAGAAGCGAAAAACAAAAGTATCAAAGGGCTAAATGGTTAATTATTATTGGGATAATGACTTGAAAGGGTAACAAACTTTTGACTTTGTTCACATTTAGTCACTAAATTTTTTTCCTTCTTTATTTGCCACTAAACTATTGAAACTGTTCACATTTTACCCTTATGACCGGTAACAACCGGTTATAAGGGTAAAATGTGAACAGTTTCAATAGTTTAATGGCAAATAAAGAATGAAAAAAAGTTTAGTGACTAAATGTGAACAAAGTTGAAAGTTCGTTTCCCTCTCAAAAAATTTCAATAACTAAATGTGAACAAACTTTCCTCTTGTATTATAGTTTAGCAAATTATGTATTTTTGTTAAATTTTAACAACATTTGTTGATGAAGAAACTTATGAACCCCCCCCCCCCCCCCCCCCCGAAAAAGGTATAAAAACAACCAACATTATATGTATAAGTTTTATGTTATAAAACTATGCAATATTATATGTATAAAAATTATCCTGATATTATATGTATAAATTTTGTGTTATAAAATTACGCAACATATAAATTGACTTACATTAAACCATATACATTGTTTGTAAAAAAATACATACGTACATTGATACATTATATATATATTGTTATACTACATGTATTGACATACATCATATTACTATATTACTATTAAAAATGATATCGAAAATAAAAGTCAAGTTGTTTAGAATTTAGACATTTTTAATTTACCCGAACAATTGATTTATATTTGAGATTGTATTTTCTTAAAAAGTTTGAATAATTATTGAAATTTATGATTGTTTAACTAGACATATAAAGTTTGAAAAAAATAGTTATATATTCAACAATTAAAACGGCGCTATTTTTTTTTCTTTAAAAAAAAGTCACTCATAATTTTAAAAGGTTTTAGAAAAAACAATTCATATTTAAATGACTATTTAAAAAAAAAATAAGGTTTTTCATTTTTTTTTTCTTCAGTATACAACGTAATTTCTGACCATGAAACACAATTTGTTAATTTCTTACCATTAAACCAAAATAAAATAGGAAATTTTGATTTTTTATTTTGGAAAATACCAAACCATTTGTTATTTATTTTGGTTCCAGTTTTTCGTTTTTTTTTAATATATTTTTTGGGATTTTGTTTTTTTTATTTCATATATTTTTTCATCAACAAATGTTGTTAGAATTTAACAAAAATAAATAATTTGCTAAAACATAATACAATAGGAAGTTTGTTCACATTTAGTCATTGAATTTTTTTTAGAGGGAAACGAACTTTCGACTTTGTTCACATTTAGTCACTAAACTTTTTTTCATTATCTATTTGTCACTGAACTATTGAAACTGTTCACATTTTACCCTTATGACCGGTTGTTACCGGTCATAAGGGTAAAATGTGAACAGTTTCAATAGTTCAGTGGCAAATAGAGAATGAAAAAAAGTTTAGTGGCTAAATGTGAACAAAATCGAAAGTTTGTTACCTTTTCAAGTCATTATCCTGTTATTATTTATCTTCTATTTTCCAAAAGATGATCTGTTTATAAAGTAGAAAGGATAAATGCATTATACATGCATAACATGAGATCCAAAATAAAAGCATTGTCGGTGGGTTTTGCTTGTTACCGAATACATGCAAACCATGAGATCCAAAATATTTCAATACTTAATAAAACGTGTCATTTTTTTTATTAATTTTGTTTGTTGGGCATCTATAATAGAAGCTTTTTTGGGATTGCAAATTTGCAATAGATTTTTCATCTTAAAAAACTCTTTAAAAAAAAAACAATTGGATGAGTTTTTAAAAGCCTAAGCTTTTTCAAAGAGCTTTGTTAATTAAATTAATTAATAAACTGTTACATAGAGCATTTGCAATGTTTTGGTGAATCTCATAGACTTCCAACTAATGATAAATATACAAGTTCTATAAGGGTATTACCAAAAAAAAAAGCAAAGTGAAAAAGCTCTTTTATTATACAGATAAAATAAGTTTTTTTTCTTTTCATTTTAAGGTTTTCTATGAAAAATCACCATCAAAAATGATATTGTGGATGCCTGAGTTTATATTATGTATAACTTTGTATCAATATAAATAAAAAATGCAACGACTATATTAAATATATAAATAAAATTATAAGATTTATCTAGAAAATGATATGAAAACTCATTATTTTTATAGTTAAACAACACTTGATCATAGAGTTGCGATGCTGCATTTCACTACACTTCTCGTTCCGTTGTCCTTTTTTATTATTTTATCATTTTTTTTTGTTTTAATCATTTGTAATGCACCTCTTGACTCTTGTTATATCTATATATTTCTTCTTTATGCGTAATTTGACGATTATTGGAATTTTTTGGGTTAATCATGTAACTTTAGCTTAGAAAATTTCAAATGAATTTTTTTATGATTAATTATTATTTATTTGACCATTTAATATCATTAATATTATTGAAATGGGTAGTTTTTTTTTCTTCACTAATTATTTAATATATCCTGAATTTTTAAATTATTTTTAGGTTTCTATTTTACCCCTTTCACATTCAATGATACGTTGTTTCATCCTTGACATTATATTTAAATTTAAATATTTGTTATTTTTTACTAATTAGTTTATTTTATTAAATATTTAATAATATTTTATTTATAAAATATTAAATATTAATGTCGAATAATATTTTTTATTAAACAATTCATATTAGAATGTGATATATATCTAAAAAGGACAAATAAAAAAATTATAGAATATTTTAGATGAATAATGATATATACTAATAATAAAAACTATTGAAAAAATTAGACATTGAAAAGATATTTATAGTTAAAATTAATGGAAAATAATATAATAATGATTTTAAGTCATATTATAAATCAACCATTATATAGATACCATCGATCCCATGTATATATAATTCTTAGGTATATACAGCTCACAAATTCTAACTACAAAATCAACTTCACTTTCCTTTTCTCTTTTTATAAATACCAATTAAAGAAAAGCCTCTTTAAAAAATTATTACTCCGTATTAAACAAATCGAAATTATTAAATATCTAGTCAAATTTAATGAGACAAAAGAGTAGGATGTCGATTACCAACTCGTTTCTTGATTTTCTAGTTTATCCTATTTGGTCATATTAATGACAAACGTTTTTTTATCTAAGATACCGACCAATACCATCTTTTCTGACCTCGTTACTTCGATTTTTCCAAACTCCCATCTTCTTCCGGATAAGGAAGGGAAACTTCCAACTTCCTCAAACCCGTCACCATCGATCGACGTGTATGCATATGCATATCAGCATATGCGTATTAAAGACTTGTCCCAAGATATTTCGCTATTTGGGTCTTGAAGATATCAAATCAATCTTTCCAGTCGTTCTGTTTTCTTTGATTTCCACCGAAAAAAAGTTTGAATCTTTTTAGGGTTTCAAAGAGGAGATCTAGACCGATTTTGTGGGGTGTTTGAAAGCGATTAAGGAAATCACTTGAGGCTTCAATTCGATTTGGATATTACGAAAGTGGGTGTTGAGAGAGACTTTGTGGAGGGTAAGTTAGTTTATTGATAATTTGTTTGTGGCTTTGTCTTGATTTCTTACAGTTTTTTTGGATCTTTGTGACACTTACAATATTAGCGATTGCCGGCCATCAATTGAGCATCGTGTGGTCTCAATTTTATATCTCTTAAACACAGGAACACATCTAAACACACTGAAGGTGTTTGGATTATCAATCAATCACATATGTTGGTTTTGGATTCTTGATTTCTGGTGTGTTTTCTTCTCTTTATCCCTAATTCATTAGTGGTTATCTTCTTTTATTTCTCTGTGAGGTAGTGTGTGCTTTCATTCTTCATATGTAAAAAGGTTGATTGGAGATAAGAATCTGAGCTTTGCATATGAATTCCCTGATGGGTATTTCAAGATTTTTGGAATCGAGTCAATTGCAAGTGGGAAACATAGATTTCTTAAGTGGGTAGCTGGGTGGCTTCTGATTTATTAGGGTTATTAGTTTCTCTCACTCCACTTTAATTTTGTGCGATCTTTACTTCAATAAAGTGTTCGCATTTCTAAAATCATGTTATTTTCATGTGCTTTGAATTCCATGTTTGGATGCGCTTTTAAAGCCTAAAGGGAATATATATGCTTATGTTTTTATAATCATTTGTGGTCAAAATAATTAAATTCGGAGGAGTTGTGTACTTGTGTACTAAAAATGATTATTGAGAAAAACATAAAATTACTAAAGATCCCTTGTTTTAACTTTTAATCAAGTGATGATTTTTAAGTCCCAAAGGTCACTTTGAAAGTTCATATGCACATCCAAACACGCTCTCAATTATCTAAATTTCTGCTTTTTAATTATTTTTAAGGTTAGATGCAAGAAATAGCAACTTACTTCTATCGATTTGTTTATTATATTATCATACTTTCATTTCTTTCCATGGCAATATTGATAAATCTTTATCTACCTATTATAGCAATGTCAACAAAGCAATTTTGAATGCTATAATTGTGTAAGATTTTACAAAGCATAATGTCCTGATAGAATCCAATTCAAAAGTACAATGCTATAATTGGGTAGATTTTTCAAAGTACAATGCCTTAACAAGAAAAAAAAAAGTCAAACTATGATATTGTAATAGAAATAAATAAAATAAAAGGAGGATACCATACCATAATTGGAAACTCAATCATTGAACTTGAAATGTTTGGTTTTCACAACAGGATTGATTCTTCATACCTTACTTCCATGAGATTAAATGGAAAACTCAAATGGAACAACAACGAAGAACAATCTTCAAATCATCAAGCATCCTACATACCAACCATACACTAAACCACTACTAGCTTGGTTTGATATCCGTGTATTTTATGTCCGAATTAGTAATTTCATGGTGGATGGATACACCCCCGAATACCTAACTCTTACCCATATACCATTAGACCCCGATACTATCCTTGAAGTCAATAACAAAAGATGCACCCTTGATTCAACCGGAAGTGCATGTCGTTTAAGAAGAAACCGAGTGGATAAAAAGTTTGAAGAGGCTACTTTTGTGAGCACGGATAGTATTCGGTTGACAGGAAGTGTTAAATTTGAGGTTTTTGATGGGGATGATCTTATTCTTTCTGGGGTTTTGGAGATGTGTAAAAATGAGAATGGTAAATTGAAGAATAATGATGTTGAAAGATGGAGTATGAAATGTGAATCCATGGTTAGTGGTGGTAGTCGGGTTTTGAAAGGGAAACAAATTGCGGGTTCGGATTCTATGCCACCCATGATTGAAGTTTATGTTGCGGGATCTTTTGTTGGTCAACCGGTTATTTTGACCAAGACTTTGCAGATTAGTGTTAGAAGGAAGCAAGGTAGAAAAGGAGCCTTGGATCCGATTCCAGAGGGTGAGGCAACGGAATCACGGAAGGATGTTCCGGATAGACTTGGTCTTCAGGTACTCATAATTTTTTTAATTCCGTGTTGTTTGGATAAATGATGTTTTGAAAAAAATGGTTGATGGATTCCGACGGAATTGGAATTAGAGATTCCAATCTTTTAAATCTCTATTAAGTCAAAAAGAAACATCCATACGTTAACCTCTTAGGTATATCTCAAAACCTCTTAAATCCGTATTGTGCTAACGACAATCTCTCGGGGAATGCAGGAATCGGAATACGGGCCTTACAAGAGCGAAAATGAGTACGAATATGAAAATGAAAACAGCCTTCATTGGAGCCAAACAGAGTACATGGAAGGTGAAGATGGAGAACTCACGTGGTTCAATGCCGGTGTGAGGGTCGGAGTTGGCTTAGGCCTCGGCATTTGCCTCGGGGTTGGAATCGGAGTTGGGCTTCTAGTTCGTACGTATCAATCTACCACCCGAAACTTCAGAAGGCGGCTTTTGTAGATCCTTCTTATCAAGTTTTTGTTTTTCTTCTTTTTCACCGTTTTATGATACAATATATAGAGTGTGATAGCTGATTGGAATGAGTAAAACTATATAGACTGCAAACATTCAGTTAGTTGTTTTTTGCTTCTTGTTGTAATTGGTTTGTGTAAATAGATTTTTTTTCATCTATAAAGATTATAAAGATTAAACGGTTTTGTGTTATGTATAAGATTCTTTCAATCCATTAAATATTAATCTCGGACGTTGTTATCATGCTACCAACCTAACATAAGTTGTTGCATATGTGATCTACATCTTATTTGGCTGACAGGTTTGTCTATGATTTAATTTTTTCAATGTGGAACGGATTCTTTGTAAGCATTGAGCTTTTATGCTGGCAACCAAACATAATAGGCCAATGTGTATCTGATTTACATCGTATCGTATATGATGTCATTGGGACATAATAGTGTGGGTCAGCTGAGAGGTTTCTCAGCTGCCAAAAATTAAGCCTTCATTCATAAACTCGGTTCCACAATGAAGTATAACCATCAAATGTCATACACAAATATAAAAATCAAGGGGTTAATAGTGATCTCGGGTACACACACGACTACAATTATGATAAGGTAGTTGGCATCCGGGCTAATTGGTTCAGCCCGAATACTGCTAAACCAAAGCGGGCTCTGGAGCAACTGCCGCTCCAACAGCATGGCTTGTAGACATAGAACCGGTCTTTTCATCAAAACCCCAAAATTTAGCAGCTTTCACATCATCTTGAGCCATTAACCTTGAAAAATCTTCATGGTCATACTTCATGGTTGCTTTTCCACCAAACTCAGTCGGGAGGTTATCCATATCAAAATATGATCTCATCAGCTCCACACTCTCTTTGTTCTTTGGGTACACAAATTTCACCTTCTGGAATGTTTTCGGATCCATGAAATACTTAACAATCTGCACATTCATCACAAAACATAAACATTCAACAACGATGCAGTTACCAGTTACCAGTTACAGAGGGGGAGAAAATGAAAATGAAAATGAAAATGTAGAGGGACCTTCCAAAAAGCTTCAAAAATGCGGGGAGGGGTGTACAAAAAAGCAACGGCTAGCCTTTGAGGATAATGGTCTTGTAATATATTGATGGTGTCTCTAGCGGTTCTAACTGGAACATTGGTGGTAAATGACCACCCGGTAAAGTCAATCAACCATGCCATTTCTTCCTGACCTTCCGGAAGATTAAGCATCGCATTTTCCATTAGGTATACAAGATGTTTGATCTGGTTCTCCATTGATTTTGTATTCTGCACAAAATGCATGTGTCAGTGTATCCACATAAGTTTTAGGAGAAACAAAAGGTTTTGAATGCAAGAAATAGCAACGTACTTTCACTTTCATTTCTTCTTGTTACAGCATTGTACTTTGAAAAATCTACCCTGATTATACCATTGTGATCCAAAAACATATAGCTATTTTCATTGCTATAATTGGGTAGAAATTTCAAAGGTCAATGTCTTGATAAGAAAAATAATCTAGTAGTTTTTAAAAAGTATGAAGTGGGAAACTGGGAATTGCTGAATCACCTGCAGTCCTGGTTTTAATATCAGAACAGTTCTTCCAACTCGGTCATGAAAATTTGCCCTGAATAATTTTCCTGTTTCGCCCTCCATTGCGACTTCATGCTACCAACTCAAGAAAATTAATATGATTTGACACAACTTATAAGAAACTTTATATATAAGTAGTGATAATGTTATGGCTTCCTATAATATAAGAAGAGCAAAATCTAGAAAAGCACTTTTGCTTTTCATTTTATCGATTTAGCCACTTTAACTATTTTTGGTAGTGATTAAACCATTATACTTTTCTTGATTGCTTAGAAAGACCATTTTTCTTGGTTGCGAAAATACAAAAAGGCACAACATACTTTTCACCATTTTATCAATTCAGCCACTGAACTATTGATATTTTATCGATTTAGCCACTAAACTATTATATAATCATAAATGGTTCACCTTAACTGTAAACGAATTCTAATGGTTTAATCACTCTACATAAAATGGTTGAAGTGACTATATTGACAAAATGGTGAAAGTAAGTTCTGTTTTTTTTTTTTTTTTTTTTTGCCTTTATATGAATCTTTAAAACAAATGAATCATCAATTACTAACCCAACGGATTTCTTCAGGCTTATAGGTTGATCTCCAGGCAAGTGTTTCTTCCAACATTTTTTTTGCTTTGTCTACATTCCAATTCCTAGCTTCCAAATATCTTCTCAAGCATGCATCAGTGCAATACAGTAAGTTTCGCCCCGAAAGTGGTCCAATAGCAGCTTTAAGCTCATTGACCTGCATTGACCAAAGTCCCACATCAGCCATCACAAGGTTTTCATCACTCAGAAAAAAAAAATTGTAAAGAAATTGCAAAAAAAGGAATGGGAAATGAACTGCTAGGCCCCGTTTATTACACATGATACGACAAGACAACACAGAACATGACAGGTTGTACTGCATTTGACATGCATTGGTCTGGGACTGGGACAGGGACAAATGTCAAGATGACAAAAGACGTAAATGCCCTCCCCATCTTCATTCTCATCATCAAAATCTTTTACAACTAATTGTTACCTTGGACTCGGATTGTAGTTCAGGGTGCTCCTGCTCTAGCTGTTGGTGAGAAGATCCACGGCGACGAAAGATGGACATGGTGAAAAAATAGTGCAACTACAAATAAACAATAAACAACTAAATTATATTTGTATAAAATGACTAAATAAAAATGCACTTGTTCATAGTCTCTATAGTCTATACTTCCAAATGGGTATGCAAATGCAGATGTATTAGTGCTCACATGTCTGTTTAAAAAAAGTTTATTAAATAGAGGAAGTACCTATAAACAAAGCTAGTTTGATGAAGTGAAATCCAGCTCATAAAGTGCAAAAGTGCATATAATCTTTGGTAAAGAGAAGAAGAATAAAATAAGCAAAACTAACAACACAGATATAGGTAAACAAATAAAGCTACTTTACTGAACCAAATCTGTTTAGTATCAAATCCATGTATCGTCATATAGATACTAAAGCTTAAAAATTAAAGCGTTCCTTTGAGGAAGCCTCAACATGATAACTTAAGAGAATGCATCCAGATCCAATATGGGATGTTGATAAGAACACGGAAGTGGAAATCTTGTTAACCCCCACAAATTGGATTGTTGGTAGTTTTGTGTAAGAACACGGTTCCTTGGGTTTGCATAAAGTTTTCACAAAACGGGTTTAAATTAATAAATAATTCTAATAACAAAGAGAATCCTTGTTTTATTCACGAGAATCTGGTGTATGGGCACCTGATCTAGCTCAATCCAGCTCAATTTCAGAAACATGCATTAGCGAAATTAACGTCATATGTATCAAATCAATCCGAATGATATGACATAATAAAACGAAAGCAAGAACTGACACACGAACCTTCTTCCTGGTCCTACGTGACTCCTTTAATCAAAAATGCCCTAATTTGTAATTTCCATGAGATAAACAATAATCAAGTAGATGCTGAACCGACTTTAACCTATAAAACCCCAAATTCAAACAATCTGAAAATAGACAGCTAAACATCACTACGAAACAACAAATCAACGAATCTTAAACATTGTAGATAAAATCTCGATGTTCATACTTATATATAGTAGTTACAGACATATAGACAAAAAATCAAAATCAAAATGTAAAATAGACTCGACAATATTTACAGCAAAATGTGTCGCAGAGAGGCAGGATTCTCGATTTGTACGCACCTTTGGTAGAACAAATACCTGGTAGACTAGAGAAAGGTGTTCATAATGATCAAAAGTAATCTTTTGCCGAGACGATTTAAGGGAATTACGAGATATTTGTGTTAATTGAGAACAGATGTGGAGGAATCGTGAATGAGAGAGAGTGTGTGCGTTTGAAATTTGTTAATTTTATGCGTGGGAATCATGGGATTTTCTTTATTGCAGTTTTAATGTTAAAAAAAAGCTCACATTGCTGAATCAAACAATAACTTATTCCTGTTTTTTTTTTTTTTTGTAAATAAGTTTATGAACTCTTTTGAGGTAAGAATCTCTCAAATTGATGAAAAGAATACATACATACACATGATATGTATTGTACGCCTGTCATCGGTTGCTTAGAAAGGTGAAATACTTATAAGCATTTTGTGTTGTTAAGTTAGTAAATAATGTCGTTTGGTTCCTCCACTATATTACAACTTGTGATGTGATGTATGAAGAAAGGACATGTTTATGCTTTGTGATTTACAAGTTTAGCTCATGGGTAACCGATTAACTTTAATATATCCAATTTCGATCACTATGTATAGTGCTTGCTAACTTTCATACTATTGTCTAACTTAGCAACTTGAAATTACACATAATCATAATATGTTATGAAATATGAAAGAAGTAATAAAGAATTATCGTTGGCAGATAAATTAATATATTAATGTGGGTTGAGTTAAGAATAAGGATCAATGAAGTATCTATATACTAAGTGATTGAATGTTCTTAAATAAATACAAAAATAAGGGACATTGACTAAAGTAACTATATGTTTATTGCAGTTTTAAGAAAAACAACCACAAGTTTTTTATTTTTTTGTAAAATAATAATTTTTTTTATGAACATAACATTCCAGAGTAGAATTTAGAGTATGAAGTAGCCATTGTTAGAGAATAAATGGCCATAAATATCACCATAAAATTAATTGAACTACCGAACTTATCATTTTATTATCATATCAACATCAACCTAACTAGTCATGATTTTCACCTACCATTTAAAATCATGAAATTTCTCACATACCTCATATCAAATCTATCTAAATTAGTTGAAATGTTATCATAATTCACACCAAAAGCCATTAACTCTCTTCGAAAATGTTTTTTCGAGCGGTCGAAATTCACTCCCAACGCAAAAATGGTTATTCAAGCTCCAACAATGACCTAAGGTCTTGGAGCATCTCTAAATATAGTTGGTGGTATTCACAAGAACGAGTGTTAAATATATGATGGTGATTTTAGTGTTATCAACATATTATAGTCTAATTCGTATTACTATCGAGACATGTTAAGTTCATTTTACTATCTGAGACTGGAGGTGTGGGATGCACACTCAAAGTGATAAATGTGAATTCAGGAATACGGAGGTCTAGGGGCAACGCCCCTAGAGGGGTCTAAGGG